TGCAACCATCGGTATCACAAATCACCAAACTAATTACAAGAGACAAAATGATCATCAATTTGACAGCCCCCTGAAGAAGCACTAAAAAATGGTGCATTCATAAAAGTGATTGCAGCTAGCAAATATGCAGCATAATTACCATCGAATACGTTTGGAGAAGTGAAGTGGTGTCAAGAAGAGTTCTTCGTGCCAAGCATTGACATAAAGATAAAAGTCAAGTTTGTGACTTTAGAACTCAAATCTCAGACTAAAACAGTAAGGTGGACATTACCCGTTTCCTCTGGTCAAGGGATTATAAAGGGTAGTGTGTAAGCCTATTGGTGAATGAACCCTCACCCCCACACTCCATTTGTTCACTGAAACAAGGTCGTAAAAATCTCAAATTTATTAAATCAAATATCCATTGTACCAGAATGCTGTTTTTTTTTCAATTGCATAGTAGATGAACTAGTGACTAAACAGCTCTATCTACGTAAAAACAAATGTGAATATGAAAAAAACTACCTCAAGCAGGGCCTCCTCCACGTTCTCCTCCATCCATTCTGCAGAGTGTGTCTCCACACCCATTTCCAGCTTTCTGTTTGCACAAAGTGCTGTACTCCGGAAGCTTAAAAGGGATGAAACAAAACGGTTGATTTTCCTCCGTCCTGCAACGGAAGTGACACTGAGTTTGCCACCGAAGCTTTTGAGTCTGAATAAATGAATGAATGTAAAAAACCAGAGAGAGGGTGGCGCCAGAACCAGAAGGGAATATGGGAAGATGAATCCATGCTATGTTGAGACTTTGGAACATAGGTTGCAGGGTGAGATGAAAAAGGCCGGTCCACTTCACATCTCTGGATTATCTATTAGTCCCAATGGGCTTCTTAAGCTGCCGGTCCAATCAATCTCTGGGCCTGTTAGAGAAAAACAGATTAATTTAATTAACTGGGCTTCTGGTTGAAAATGACACCTGTTCAGTTCTGAACTTGCCAGCTGTCATTAAAAATCCAGGTGTCAGCTTGATGTGGCTCCCCAAATGTTAGGGCAAGAAAATAAATAAGGATTTTTCTTACTATAAATATTTTTTTAATAATTAATTTACTTAAAAACAATAAAAATTTAAATTTAATTAATTAACTAATTAAAACTATTAAGTGACAATGATATTAAAATAAAAATAAATTTTTGTTATTTTTATGTAAACTAATTTAAAAAATATATTTATTATACTTTTTAACCTATATGTAAAGGTGACAAAAATCTACCAAACCTATCCACTCGGCCCTAACTTAACCCATAAAAATGAGTCAGGGTTTACATATCTCAACTTGTAATCTGTAAATAACCTACAATATCAATCTGTATAGGGTCATAAGTTGAGTTAGGGTCAACCCGTGGGTTGACAGGTTGACCCATTTACTTTATTTCTTATTATTATTTTTAAAAATACTATACTTATTATTTTTAATTAATTTTTCTATTGATAACTCTCTTCATTAATTCGTACTCTTCAACCTTATTTCCATTACTCAAATGGTTTTAAACTTATTTTGAGTGTTTACTCATCATTATTTCTTCTTCTTTCTCCAGAAATTATGTGGGTTTAATTTAATTATCAAGTATTATGAATTAAATGATAATACAACTAAAAATATTGATATGATGCTAAGATATAAATATAATAATTTAGTAAAAAATGTTCTTAAAAAAGCAACTTCATCATTAAAACAAGGGCTTAAACTCCTTGATAAAATTTCAAGATGATTATAAAATTAAACTTTATTTTTCAAGAAATTTAAATATTTTAAGTTTAATATCATTAATCAACTTACTCTTATTTATAAATTTATGATTTTTTCTTGATTTAAATATTTGTAGTGAAGATTATAAAGTAATTAGCGTTAATGAGTAAAATATTTTAATTAGATTTAAATATATATAATTTTATTTATATATAATAAAAATAATTATAAAAAATAAAAATAAAATCAACTTGCGAGTTAACCTGTAACCTACTAAAGTCAAGTTATAATTAGATTTTTCCAACTCACAGCTCATTTATGATTCAACTTGTATGAGTTGATCCAACTCGAACTCGACTTAACCTGTACATTGCTCGACCTACCTATATGATATATGAAATTACATGTGTTCAGATATGATCTTGCCAGCTGTCATTAAATCTAGGTGTCAGCTTGGTGTGGCTCCCCAAATGTTTTGGCAAGAAAATAAATAATAAAAATAAAAACAATTTAAAAACAATTTCTTTTATAATTTTACATGTTATTTAAATATTTATTTTTTTATTTAAAACTCATTTATTTATAATATATAAAAATTTTATATATATATAAAAAATCTTATATCACCACCTAATAATAAAATCAAGGTTAAATGCTCATTTTGGTTCCTCAACTTTATCGATTTACATATTTTTGGTCCTTAAAGTATTTTCTGCACATTTTTGATCTCTCAACTCTAAGAAATGCATAATATTAATCTTTCGTCAGTTATTCATAACATGGCAATTAAAAAGTTACACGATGACATTTTTTTTAATTTTTTTATGACATGGCAATAATACATTATATAAATTGAAAAAAAAATGCCAACTCATTTACCAAATTAGATTAGTATTTATATTTTTAATAAAAAAATAAAAAAAATACAAATTTACCTTAATACCCTTGTCCTCCTTTCTTGATCTATCTTCCTTTCTTTCTTCTTTTTCTTTCTTTCTTTTCTTCCTCTGTGTTGTTGGATTCCTTCAAACCTAGCTAATCTGGGTTCAAGGGAACCCAGCTCGGGTCATCGAACCCATCTGCTGGGTTCCTCGAACCCAGCAAACTGGGTTTGCTCGAACTCAGATCTACTGGGTTCAGTGGAACCCAACCTGGGTTCCGTCAAACCCAAATCTCTTGAATCCAGCAACTGGGTTCCATTGAACTCAGCTCCACTTTATTTTTTTTGTTATATATTTGTTGCAAAGAGTTTATGCAAATTGCAGGTTATAAGGGATTTTTGGGATCCTTTTGCTTCATATTTCCTAACTATTGTCTAAATGATTTTAATATTCAAAATGGAAAGAACATCACTGGCGATGGAAAGAACAGAAGTAGTGACTGATGGGCAAAGAAGCAATTTTTAGTGGGTTTGCATTTGTTTGGCTAGAAAATTGTATAGTTTGGATGCTAAGAAAATATTTCAATTTGTTTGGTTGCCGAGAAAAAATTGTAATGTCTATAAAGAAAATTTGATAAGAAACTTGTGATTTAATTATAAATTAATTAGAATCTTAATTTTAATTAATATAAGTGATTATAATTTAATGACGATTAATAATGAAATCTGACTTGACATTATTTTTTATCTATATAAGCATTTACATTTAATTTAATTTGTTTTATCATTAAAAAATATAAAAAATACCACGTAATTTGTGACATCATTAAAAAATTAATAAAAAATGCTACGTGGGCGAAGTTAACGGTTCAAATTGACAGAAGGACTAACGTTATGCATCTCTTAGAGTTGATGGATAAAAAATATACACAAAATACTTTAGGGACCAAAATGTCTAAATTAATAAAGTTGAGGGACCAAAATGAGCATTTAAGCTAAAATCAAAAGTACCGATTGCTTTTCCTTCGGGTTAATGTCAACCGCAGCCCGTCTCTATCAGGGCCTTGATCCAAAGGACAGTCAAATTTCCCCCTCTCTCCCCAATCCCGGGAATCAAACGGAAATATTC